GACTTAACATAAATTATAATAATGAATAAAGAAAATAAATTTTTAAATATATTCATGACAGCGATATATGAATTATGTAAAATAAGTAAAATTAATCGTGGATTATCAATTAAAAAACAGGTTCCTCTAATAAGACTAAAATACCGCCAAATTTTTTAAATTTAAAGAATATAACTATTAATTTTTTAGTAAATTAATTTAAATTTTTATAATAGGGTATCTAATCCTAGTTTTAAATAAAATTTAATAGAATAAAATAATTACAATAATAATTTTTAATTAAATTTTAGTTTATTAAAAAAAATTAAATTATAAATTATAATTAATACTAATAACCAAACTATTTTATTTGTATACTATGTTTAACCGCAACTGCTGGCACATATTTAGTTTATACTAAAATTAATAATTAAATCTAAATTTCTTTAATATTTAATATTTAATACTGAGAACTATTAAAATCCTTTAAGAATTTATTAACAATCAAAAATTTTCATGTATTTTCTTAATTAAATAAAATTTTATAATAAAATAAATTATATTTATATATAAAATAATAATAATATGGTTTAATATTATATAAATATACAATTTTCAATTTGGACAATTTAACTATAAGTTATTAACTTAAACTACATTGTATTTTTCACCAAACAAGCATAGTTATAACCAATTAATTATGGTAATATCAACTATTATGTTTTTAACCATTTACCATAAAAAAAATTTTTTCCGTCTGCTCAAGAATCGGCAGGAATTGAGTAAAAAATAGCAAAAAGTTAATAAAATTTAATTACATATTACTACAGAATTACAAAATTAGATTTTAAGGGAAAACTAGTAGAGAAGGAATTATGAAATCGTGGTCAGGAATCAGCAGGAATCAAGTAGGTACTATACAGTTGGTTTCCTTTTAAAGGTAACACTAAATAATTCTGTCCACTGACATCGGATTAATATGCGGTTTTCAGGAGGGGATAGGGAATACATAAATACACATTTCTTAATGATTTTTACATTTTCCGTGTGCGCACTTGCATTTTTTTAAACGGCAACAGGTATTTTGAATACCAAATTCAGATAGACCGAATTTTTTTAAGTCGATATGGTCCTTTTTACCATAGCTCTAAAATCAAAATTAACTAAATGGCAACCAGACAAAGTTTCGATTAAAATTATTGAATTTTTAACCAATCATACTATAATTTTATGAATTATTATGAAATTTTATTTATTATTTTGTATCCGTAGGTTTGCAGATATTATTAAATCATTTAAATTTAATTTTGAGGAATTAATTAACCTCACAACGTAAATCTATCCAAATAAATAATAGAAATTATTGAAATTGTAAAAAAATTGTGTTAATTAGTTTAATCTTTTCTTACTTAGTAATTGAACTAACATTTCTATTATTTATTTGGTATTAAATGTAAAAATCATTAAGAAATGTGTATTTATGTATTCCCTATCCCCTCCTGAAAACCGCATATTAATCCGATGTCACTGGACAGAATTATTTAATGTTACCTTTAAAAGGAAACACACTGTATATTAGGGCAAAAAAATTGCAAAAAGTTAAATTTGGAAGGTGGGTGGAGCAAGAGTAACGTTAACCCAGCCCCACCCATGGAAAATTCGACTTTCCGGGAAAACTGTTAGAGCAGGAATTATGAAAACGTAGTGAGGAATTAGCAGGAATTGAGTACTAATTATTGGCACAAAAACAATTTCGAAAGTCAAAATGGGAGGGCATGGTAATTTACGTCAGTGATCCACATACCTAGTCGATAATAATATCCTGCTAAAATGTTAGTACATTTTGAAATGAATATATTAAAACAATTTTAATAGGGTAGAAATATTTCGCAAATTACTCCCAAATTTTCCATTATAAGACCGTTTTTAATAATAAGAAAAATATTATACAACTATATTTTTTAATTTTTAGGTTATAACAATACATTTTTTTTTTAATTAGCAAATTTGATCAATTTTTAGTAGAATATCAAATCTTAACTTTAAATAAAATAATTTTAACAATAATGCTCAATACCAATTTTTAATTATATATTTTATTTAAATATTTATCAATCATTGTAATTAATAAATTATAAAAGGTGGGCAAGTGGGTGTCGCTCTGCTGTACAGTAGGTTACAAGTGGGTCACTGTATAATGGATGGTATTAAATTTGAATTCAATGATATAATATCATTGTATAAGAAAAACGATTCTGAGCGATGACGGTATGTCAGTCTATGTATAAGACATATTATATACATATCTATGGTATTAAACAAAAAATTGACCTATAATAGGTACCTATAATAAATTCCAAATTAATCATATCACAATATCCATTAGATACTTATAACGCGTTATACATCAACAAAAACCGTGATACTATCATAGATATATAATAGTACACTTTAGAAGTTTCAAGTACTCACGAATAATATTATTCAATCACAACAAAATAACTAAAATAGTTATTCTAGGTTTTTTAATATGTAATTTCGTCCAAATTTGAATTTAAAATGTCTGTAAAAAATAAGTGTGTTCATATATTTTTTAGACTTTTTGGTTATAGTATGAACTATTTATGAGAACCTTTGTGTTGAATTTGTAATCCTTAGCTATAAAAACTGAACATTTTATAATTTTTTAATTCCAACGATTGATAATTTTCGAGATTTTGATAAATTTTGTCAAAATCCCAACTTTAAATGCTTATAAAAAAAAAATCGTGCCTATGTATTTTTAATATTTTTCAACTGATATTGTAACAATATATCAGGAGCCTTGTATTAAATTTTTACACTTTTTGGCCCAACAGATAAAACTTAATTGATATTTATAGAAAAAAAAAACTAAAAAAAATTGAAAGCTGTAAATGTCCATAAACAGCTCAAAAAGAGTCAAAATATTTTCTAAATTGTATGATGTATAGAAAATGATAATTTAAATATTCAGTGAAATTTTCATGTATCTACAACAGTTGTTCGTTTTTGAATTGCAACAAAATAAAGAAATCGCTACATGAGTAATCGAGTGAATATCCAATGTTGTAAAAATTTGAATTTCAAACGCTCATAAAAATTTAATTTGACTGTCCGGTAGAGATTTTTTTATTGATAAAGGTAGATAATCTTATGAGGAATCTTGTGTTTCATTTTCAAATCTTAGATTTAAAAAGAAAATTTTTACGAATTCTTAACTCAAAATAATTTGCTAATTTTCGTGATTTTTCCATATTTTGTCAATTTTTGAACCTTAAATGCTTATAAAAAAAATTGTGACTAAGGATTTTTAATATTTTTCATATTTGAACAATTTAACAATAAGTTATTAACTAAAACTACATTGTATTTTTCACCAAACAACCATAGTTATAACCACTTAATTATGGTAATATCTACTATTATATTTTTAACCATTTACTATAGCAAATTTTTTTTTTCCGTCTGGTCATGAATCGGCAGGAATTGAGTAAAAAATTGCAAAAAGTTAATAAAATTGAATTACATTACTACAGAATTACAAAATTAGATTTTATGGGAAAGCTAGTAGAGAAGGAATTATGAAATCGTGGTCACGAATCAGCAGGAATTGAGTACTGATTATTGGCACAAAAAAAATTTCGAAAGTCAAAATGGGGGGGGGGCAGGGTAATGTACGTCAGTGATCCACATAACTAGTCGATAATAATATCCATTATTAAGTAAATATATTAAAACAATTTTAATAGCGTAGAAATATATCTCAAATTACTAACAAATTTTCCATTATAAAACCGTTTTCCATTATAAGAGAAATATTATACAATTATATTTTTTAATTTTTAGGTTATAACAATAAATTTTTTTTTAGTTAAAAAATTTGAACAATTTTTAGTAGAATATCAAATCTTAACTTTAAATAAAATAATTTTAACAAAAATGTTCAATACCCATTTTTAATTATATATTTAATTTAAATTTTTTTTTTTTAATTTATCTATAGGTACTAACATTAAATATACATTCAAATATAAATTTCAGGATTTTTATTTTGTTAAATAATCAGACATTATTTACTCAATTCAAATAGATTTAACTAAGCCTATATTGTTAAATAAAACTTATTTTCCCAATAAATAAAAATTTGAGAAAAATAATATGAATAACCCACAGGATTGACAACAATACTATAATATACATAATAATTATCAAGAAAAACCCAATGAAGCTGTTTGAGCTGGTTTAACAATATAACGACAAATGAATAATAATTTTATAATTACTCTCAATATGTAGACGCGTTGACTTTCCAGTTGCTACCTGTTGATCTTAATACAAGTATACAAGTTGACAAGACAGTGTTATAAAGCCAATATAATTTAACATCACAATAAAATCATAATAACATATTTTATAATAAACAAACTTAGCGCTTACGCATATGATAATAATTAATAAAGTTGGCGAATCGCAATTGCGATTTAATAAGGAGCCGTGGTGAATTTCACACATTTTAAATAATAAAATATTAAAGATTTTTGATTTGTGCCCATTTAATTTAAATAATAATTTAACAAGAAAAAAACTGTTTACTTTGAACGCAAATGCGTTTAGAAAAATATAATGGTAAAATAAACTTGCACGTTGACTAACAAAACGAACAAGACAAACGAATATAAATATTATAATAATGTAGAAACAACTATATTATAATAATTTAGTCTTTTATGGACCTAAAAATAAGAAGAACGCTTCAAACAAATAAGCAATAGCTTAAGGAGATTTTCAAAAACAAGAATAATAACCTTAATTTTACCTAGTAAATAAATTAATGTGATTGATAAATAATGATCGATAAATACTTAGATAAAAATTAGCGAGTACGGTTAAATTATAAAATATTATGTTTGGCTTGATGACGGTGCGCCAAAAATACGAAGACTAAATAATATTTTAATAATTGGTCCTACAGTAACGATATTATATTATAAAATATGTACTTATTTCACAGACCGATGATCTTTTAACTGGTCGCAATTATCTACGTTTCGACATATCAATGTCTCTAAACTGGTCGACTTCACCAAGTTAAAAAATTCGACTCCACCGAACGTGTCCGGTGCCCACAAGTGTTTGGTTATGAGACGATTTCCCAGTATTGCGTTTACGATAAAACTGTTAGACAGGACTTTGGCCGTGGGTAGAACTCCGGAACTGGACTTTTCCGTCAACACGCCGGTTAAAAACTCCACCTTCTCCACGGTACTGTACAATTTTTCCAATTCGGTTGCGGTTTCGATGTTTCCGGTGAGATCGAAAAAGCTGTTGTAAGCACGCAGCCCTAACCGTCTTCTATAGTTATTGAAACTCTGCAAACATTGTTCCCTCGATAGTTTCATAAGTGCTTTGGTAAACTTTCCAGTCAAGGGGCCGTCATCGTGGGCCGTGACTATGCTCATCTTTGAACTCATCATTAATTGCAGGGAGTCTTTTAAATCAGCTTCCGAATCTTCACTAAAAGTATAGTAAAATCGAATCGTATATAAGTATAAAATAATATAATAATATGTGAATGTCATTGAAATCGCTTATTTTTCTAAAACTAAAATTCTCCGGGGACTAGAACAGTTCCCCACATGTTTAGTTTCACTTCCCTAGCGTACCTCTATAGTTTCTGGTCACCATCTAGACCTAGAGTTGTATAATACGGGTAGGTACCTACTATAGTTGATGATTATAATTAATAATATCATAGTTTGAACTGTTTGAAGCGTATATGAAATTATAATAGGTACGCTTCAAAAATTTATTTTCATAAATCATAACTCATTCTTTAAAAAAAAACATATTATATTTATCATTAGTTCAACGATGTGGCTATATATTATGCATTTACAACAGACGTACAGTACCCACGAATAAAAAGCTATCTAAGATTGCGTAGGATTTCAGGTTTGACCGATTGAAAGCGTTTATAATATGCTTGTCATCCATTAATTAAATGAGTCTTAAGGATGTAAATGTTGGATTTCCAATTTTTGCAGTTCAATAAAAATTAAAAATGGTATCTATATTTAGGTCGCTATTTAATAATTATAATATCAGCAAAAATTAATTCACGGGGAAAAAATCTCACTCATTATTGATAATTTGTTTTTTATCTGAAAGATAATTTTATCTGGGATCAAAGCCCGAATTTTCATTTTACTTTAAACAGTGCTGAACAAACACGTTTGTAATATAACAAATATTGTTCATCATTATTCAAATTCCAATTTTAGCTTCTATGATAATATTATAGTTTTTAAAATCTGGTTTTGATCGAAAATCCCAGAGGCGTCCGCAGGGGGGGGGCTAAAGGGCTGAAGCCCCCCATTGCCCGTATTATTGTTACTTTTTAAAAAAATATTAAAACTGTCAACTATAGTAAGCAAGAAGTAAATTTCATATATGTCTTACTAGAATGAATTCATTTTTGAAAGAACATTGTATTTGAATACCAATTTTCATAAATTATCTGTAATTTTTAGGTAAAAGTATGAACTACTTGTATGAAAGACCTTGTATTAAATTGTCTAGTCTTAGCTATATATATTTTATATTTTATAAGTTTTGAACTACAAATTAACTGTCATTTTGACGAAATTTGAACTTTAAATGCTTATAAAAAATAACCATGGTGCCTATGTAGTGTTTGAAGTATGAAATATTTCACAAAAACGTGACAAGTTTAAAAACGTGACACATTGAAATTTTTTACACAAATAAAAACACAATTTATTTATTTTTTAAACACAATGTTAACACAATTTTTTTTAACACACAGTGTTCTAAATTCTAATGACAGAATTCAGTATTTATACAATATGCATGTACCTATAATATTGTATACCTACTTGTATCATTTAAACATTAAAATATTTAAAAATGTTGAATACCATTTTAAATGTATAATACCAAAGGTTAGGTATACATACAGTTAAGAAGGTAATTTATGACAATTATTTGTAAATATAAAACTTATTTAAAAAAATATATCAAATACTGAAATATTTAATTTTTTTAAATTTCATGAAATTTTTTCACACTATGCCTATGTATCGTTAATATTTTAGCTATAAAAAAATAACTTACGTATTACATTTTTAAGATCTTTGACCGGATAAATAATTTTTTATTGACATTTATAGAAAAAAAAATTAATTATTCAAATACAATCCAAGTGAAGACGGTATAACCAAAACATTTAAATAAATTTTCATTTTTTTTTCTCCAATTATTTTTAAAAGCACTGAGCATTTTCAATTTCGACCTCCTAAAAGTACAAACTAGATCCAATTTGCTTCCAAAAACATACACTGGGCATCGAAGCTTATGATCAGAGCATTTTTTCTACCAGAAAAGTTGAAAAGTTACAAACATTTTAAAATACCTCAAATAAACGTCAGAAATTATTAGACTGGACAAAATAAAAATGTAACTAAATTTCAAGCCCCCCCCCCCCCCCCATTGAAAAATCCTGCGGACGCCACTGGTCAAAATCCAGAATGTTTTCATCTTTTAAATAATAAACAAACAATTAACGAAATCCTACTATTTAACAGGGCTAGAATGTTTCGCCGTAAGACATGTTTTTGTATACTAAAAATGCATTGGCCCCGAAGTTCTTAACTTAAATCATTAACTACCGTGTTCGTACCTGCAAATAGCTTTTTATACACTATAATATTATATACCATATAATATGGCTACCTACTATAATATGGCACCCTGTTCGGGCTGCTCTGTAAATCCCTGATCAAAAATAATATTTTTAAGAGCCAAAATTTGACGTGGAAGTTTCTTAAGTTATTATTGGTGTATCCATAAAAAGTCTCGGACTAACCTGGTGTTATTGTAGAACTTCAAATTCGTTGAACTGTATTGCAATTTTTCCGGCATATTTGATACAGCCATCGTCAAGTACACTTCAATAGGATTGCCGGAACTATGGATGTTTTCCATTCGATGGTGGGACACTTCCGGTCTGAGTTCCACATTTAGGATTTCGTTCATCATAATGTTCATCATTTGACCGGTTACAATCTTCCTGGCCTTTTTATACAGCTGTTCATGTGTCCAACACGGCCACTTCCGTGATAACTCGTCGCACACTCGGTTGTGTTCACGAGCCCAGAGTATTGACAGTACGTAAAGCATTGTGCTCGAGCTCAACATCTCTTCCCGTTTGAATTGCTGGCCGAACATTCTGCTGAACTATTTCACAAATCGTCAATGTCATTAATTGAAATCATTGCAAAACACAACATTTTTGGTGAAATTGTTTTATAGTTACTTTTTTTAAAATTTATTTACTTTCATGAACGACGGCATACAAAAAAAAATTTTACAGAGAATTTTGATGTGCTGTTAAAATTAAATTTCGAACGAGTACCTACGAGTTAATTTGTTTAAAGTATTAATAATTAAATTATCGGATTAGCAGTATTGTAGTAAACTGATAATTTGAGGGATAGGTACCTACACTTGTAATTTCGTCCATTAAATAAACATTAAAATATTCTCATAAGTAATATGTGCATAACTAGTTCAGATTCGGTATTATAATTAAAAAGTTGTCTATGTATATTATGTTGTCATTCAGAAAAGTGAAAATTTAAGTTTTATCAAACAATATTGTTTTGTGTAAAAAAAAGTCTTGCTCACCAACGACCTGTCGTTCGAAATGCCTTTTGTCAATGCCTTTAAGTATACGTCGGAATATGGTGCGAATGCATGGTTCGTTGCAAAATGTTTGTAATCAAATTTCCGTGTCTTTAGCTTACCACCGGACAACGATCTCCTAGATCTCTCCGACGCAGCTCCACTGCCGTACAATTGGGAAGCCGTTACCTATAATATTAAGTGGCGGACAATACAATATCATTAATATTCAATGTAAGTTTTTTAATGGTAAGTACGTCATATCGCTTTAAATGCGCTCGTGTCATAACGTATTATTGTAATTTATAGGTATTAGCTACTAACCGTCAAGTTGGAATTTGGGTCGGAAAATTGCATAACGAAATATTGGTAGAACGCGTCCAACAGTAAATTTCTGTTCTTCCGATCCGGTATGAACTGACCGGGTTTCGGTTTGAGGATTTTGTTGTACAGAGTTTTCACCGGCGGTAAAGTTTCTGAAAAAAATTAATTTTCTGAATTTCCTTTTCACCCAGTGTTAATAACTGCGCGTTAGAATAGACGACGATACATTTCGTCGATAACAGACAATACGCAGTTTTACATCGTTTGTGCAAATATGTATTTTATTTTATATTATTATTATAATAAAATAATGAAAAAATGTATAGTAGTGAGGCATTAATATATATATTTACTGTCATTCGCACAGCATTCCAGTGGACATGCTGGAGACAATATTCTGGGACCGTATCCACCGTTGTTTTCACTAGGGAACACGTTCTCTAATCTTTCCACAGCACTTTGATGGACTAATCAAAAAAAAAAAAAATACATCATGCTATTAAAGTACGCTTAATATTAATTTGTAACATGTATACGTAAAACTGAATAATCTATAAAACATATTTTAGCTTATTTATACACTCAATCAATCGCTGAATGCTAAATTATAGATCTTATTGTTTAATAATTTACATTATCTACGCATTAAAATTTACAGAAAAACGTTTATTATGTACATTTCGTGAGGATAATACAGAAATATTTTCTAGATTAATGATTGTAAACCCTAGTTTTGGAAAAGCAATATTGTTGTATAAAACTGCTGACATGTATATAAACATTAAAAAATGTCCCTAATCATAATATATAATATTGAAAAATTATGTCGAGTTCCTGTAAGATTTTGTTGTTGATTTATGTTTTTAAAATTTAATATCATACTATATTAAAATTTAAATAATTTAAAGGGCACCCACTATAATATAATATTATAATACTAGTATACTACACTATAATATTATATAAGTACAGTGAAACCCCTGAACATTTTTGTTTCAAAAAAACTGAGCTATTTAGGAGGAAGGGTGATGTGGTGTTCATTAAGGAAGGGTTTACTATATATATATTACATTCACTGAAAATAAACTTAACTTATCACCTATATTGTAACCGTAACTTACAAGCGTAAATGGTTTTCAGCTGGAATCTTGAAGTGAACGGAAAAATGCTCCACCACATCGTCGGCCTTCCTAGACTGATGTCCTGGAAGCTCGGTTGTAAAAACTTTGATACTGTACGTGACATAAACGACACGGGTTTCTCTGAGGTTGGAAAAAAAAATGTTATGACAAATATAAGGTTTACACTATTGAGCATTATATTATATCATATTAGTAAAATTATCTATACATCGCCAAAATTATCTTGCTGAGTTCTGGACTAGAAAAAGTACTCGATATTTTAGCAGATTCAACAGAAAATTAATGGGGCTTTCATAGTTTATCATAGTTTATTACATTTGTAATTGCTAAAGGAATAAATTAACTGTAATGTTTTTTTTTATTGTTTTATCTTTATATGAGTATAATATAGTATATAAACATTAAATAAATAATTTGTTAAGATCCTTATCGCTTTTTTACGTATTTCATGATTAGTTTTTTGTTGTGTAGGTTTTCGAGTGTAATATTTGCCATCCTTACAGGCTATATATTAACTATATTTTTTATCAATATAAGTAAATACCGATACTTTGTTGCAATATTTTGTAGGTAACGACATTTATTAGTTTTCTATTCGATATCCATTAAAAGTATGGACAAAAATGTTGCGATTTAACAAACCTACCTGAATGTATAATAATAATATACAATGTAATAAACCACAGCGCTATACAACTCACGGCAGTGTTCGCCGACGTAGTCTGGAGTGCACCAACACGATAATCCATTTTCCTTGCTGTAAATCCTGATTCCTCCGTTTTCGCACTTAAAACTGTCCATCTCTTTGCAATATCCGTCTTGTCTCTTGTAGTCTAATTTTTTAATTTATTATTAAACGTCATACGGTATTAAGTTATAATAATAATGATAACAATATGAATCGAGAGGAGGTCTCAAACATCCGTTTAAACGGGAGGCCAAATAGTTAATGAGCCTAGTTAGAACTCGTTTGTAAGTGGTTACCGAATTTTCCAAGGAAATTATACAGTGTATAATAATTAATACATAATATAAGGTAGACCACTTGTATTTGGAACGTCCTGCAGATAACGAGAAATGGGTATACTAAATGAGAAGAAATTTCGATTAACTGCAGCAGTATAATCAAATGTGTTTCAAAAACGGTCAGAAAACTTTCGCAACAGCTGGTATTGTATATTGTCCGGGAGGGTTCGTATGCTTAGAACGGTTGGGAAAACTCACTTATTTTTTGACATTCCAGATGAACTACTATCACACTTAAAACCATCAAGAAAATGAACCTCCCAGCACATGTGTCCTCTGAAAACAAAGAGACGTATTAATTTTTACATAATATTACAATGGAGACAATACTCCACTGCAAGATTGGGGAAATCATTTTTTTTAACTCAGTTAAGTTAATATACATCAATAACAAAAAGTTGAAAGTTCACCCTTTTTGTTGACTTTTTATTAAGTTAAAAAAAAGTTTATTTGTTTCTACAACGCTAGTGTACTTATTTTTATTCCAACCCAAAACTAAATTATATACCATAGTATTTATACTTGATACAATATTTCCATAAAGTTAGATTCGAATGATATATTTTTAACTTTAAACAATTCACGGTAAATATTTTTTGACATGAAAACGAAATATACTGAAATAGTGAAATATAATACAATTAAAAACAATACAAATTAACTTAACTTAACTTAGGTACTTCCTAAAATAAATATTAATTCGTTAATTTCACTTTAATTAAAAAAGAAATTTAATAGGTTAACAGTTAAGTTAATGAGAAGCCAAAAGTAAATAGTTAAGTTAAAAAGTTTAAATTAAATTAACTTTTTAACTCGTTAGTGCCCAGCCTTGCTGCACGGTCTCGGTCACGAGGCATTTAAAACACCCCATCATTAAACCATATCATTATGAAGATGTCACTATGTTAGCACACTATTGGTTTTCTCTCTCTCTGATCCACACGCAACATAGTAAATATTTTAAATTAAGCAGAACGATCTCTGTTTTATTACATTTAAATATTATAGCGAATTCACCTGTTGCCAAATTTTAAGTTAAGAACTACATTTGTGTCCATATGGCGTTGGATATTTTATGATATTTTAGTTTATATATTATGTAAGTTATGACCGTTTAAATTGTATAAAAATTAAAACACCGCTGAAAAGCCAAGGCAGGGACACGGGTAATGTTCTTAGCTAAGAGTTTGATAATTTATGAAGTCACTCCAATATTATAAGTAACAATACACGGAGTTGCTTCACAAACTGGCTGTGTTGCGCATGGTTCTTTGAGATAAAACATACGCGGTGCTCTGACATCCACTTAATTCACGAACCCGGGGTCTTGGCTAGATATTATATTTGTGATATTGTGATAAAATCTATTGGCAAACTTGTGAATACTAAATTATTATCAAAGTTGCGCTTCGGTATCGCCACATATTGTTAGAAAACGCCATTTTATTAAAATGTTCAATAAGTACTTACCAATAGCCAACACACGGCCGACGAGTTTCTTCCAAAAATTCTTCACAAAAACCTGAACCATGTTCCAATATTTCAGATAATCAAATATTTGTAACATAATAAATGTTGCAACTGAAATATAAATTCAAGTTAAATTATGTAAACACACGGTTAGTCCGCAGTTATTTATTATACGTATTACGCTTGCGTAACACATTATTTGCAAGCGGGCTTCTTATTCGCTCGTCAAACTCGTGACTATATTATTATAAGCAAAAATGTGCATCTTTATTTTCACATATTATGTTTGAAAAAATTATATTTAAATGTTCAATAGGTACTTACCAAATAACCAGAAAATCATTAAGTCCAACAACTTAGCAGAAACATTAAACATGATGAAATATGTACGCAGACAATAATTAACTCTTGGATTACAAGAAAAAAACTGAGGCGTTATAACACGAATTAGAAATAAACTATATGTGATCCAATTATAAACAAACGCGTTGTCATGTAAAAAAATCTATCTATATGGCCATATCTATATATATATAAAATTGGAGCTTGAAAAAATTGTTATTACCTCATCAATCGAGAACGGCTGGTCCGATTTGGCTCAAATTTTTTTTTACATGTTCGTATTTTCCAGGAGAAATTTTTTATGAAAGAAAATTTTAGGAAAATCCACCGTAAAAGAAGGAAATCAGGTTGTAAAAAGTACAACAGTAGCTCAACAGTGTATTATATATTGGTTGCTATTGGTTAAGCGGGATTTTTTGTTGATTTATATTATATTTTTTTTGTCAATATATATCTATATATATAAAAATGGAGACAAAAAATTCGAAATTGCATCAGTTGAGAACGGCTGGGCCGATTTTGCTCAAATTTTTTTTAAGATGTTCGTAATTGCCAGGTGAAGGTTTTTACGAAAGAAAATTTTTAAAAAATCAACCGAATAATTAGAAAAACTGCAAAAACTATTTATTGATGTCTGGGATTTGAACTCGATACCGTTGTCTTTATTTACTCTATGGTGTATTATATTATATTGGTTGCTATTGGTTAATCGGGCATGTTTGTTGATTTGTATTATTATTTTTTGTAAATATATCTTATATATAAATGAATGACCTATGAGAAGAATATACGCTAATTTAAAAAGGGTTAAATTTGGATTTTTTTATTCATCGGATTTTAGTACGGTTAGGTTAGGTTAAGATTTATAGGTAGGTGGAATTAAGTAAAAACGTCAAACTTGGTATAACTTTGGTACTCTTTGAGTTAAATCATACACTTACGTACAAACAGCACGGGGTCCGCGATCTACCACAGGTAAATTACCTATCTGATAATGTACTGCTGCAATTCAGAATTTTTATTCCGGGCAACAGAAAAGTTAAGATATATCTAGAACATCATACACCGAATATTAAATAACGCATTGAACAATGTTTGAGTCATATAGAGTTGGTACATTTAACGGAAAACGAAGTGCACGGGATCAGCTAGTTATATATATATAATGAATATTTGTGTGTAGATTAGACCTCTTGGAAGAAGACAAGCTAATTTAAAAATTTTTAAATTTGTGTTTTTTTTAATTCAACTGATATTAGTACGGTTAGGTTTGGTTAGGATTTTGTATTAATTGATTATATGAATCCACCATAGGTGGGATACGACAAACTTGGTATAACTTTGATACATTAGAATTAAATCATGCACTTACGTCAAACAGCACGGGGTCCGCGATCTACCGCAGGTACATTTCCTACCTGATAATATACTTCTGCGAGGCAGAATTTTTATTCCGGGAAACGGAAATGTTAAGATAAATTTTGAGCACCATAAACCAAATATTAAATAACGAATTGAACAAAGTTTGAGTCATATAGAGTTGGTATCTTCAAATTAAATGTTTTTTATACCTAGGTACACTAAAGTATTTTAATTTAAAAATATGGGTTCTGGTTCTCAATATTTTAAGGTACAGAGTTGATACATTTAACGGACAACGAAGTGCACGGGTTCAGCTAGTATAATATAATAGTCGTAATGTTGTAAAATATATCCCAACAATAAAAATAGCGAATACGATTTAATTAAAAAATATGTTTGGCTCGATGACGGAGTGCTAGAAATACTAAGAATAATATTTTAATCCTTAGTCCTACAGTAATAAAATTATACTTTTACTAGCTGAGGTTAGTCACCGGTCTTAGCCCAGGCCATAACTATACGACATATTTTCAACAAAAATCAAATCATAAAAAAAAAACAATATTGGAAGAGATTCATCAAATAAAAAAATGCTTTAAAAAATATGAAGATTTGGAGTAAGAAATCGATTGATATGACATTGAAATACGAGTAGATAATACATAAATAGTAAATAATAATCGTACAGAACAAGGATCTACTAAATCAAAAAAAAATTTTATAAATCAAGCTTTTCATCAATTTTCTAATGGAAAATATCATAGATTTATTAATAGGGTCATACTATTATGTTAGAGATTATACTTTTCTGGAATATATCTTGCATTTAAAGTTCCCTTCAAGAGTGAAATTTCACGTATTAAAGTATTCATGAGATTTACCATGTGTTTTTAGTAGGTACTTCAAGGATATCTTATTGAAAATATACTCTACTGTAGGATATATCGATTCTTCAAAGTGAATTGTCATGGGGTTCATGAGATGTGTAAAAGATTTTATTTGAAATAATACGGAAATTATGAAAACTGTCTAGGATTTTATAGGAAAATTAGTTTTTGAGAAATGTCATAGATTAAATTAGAATTGTTAAGTATTATTTGATAAATGTATGTTACTCTGTGAAATATCAATCCTCTCAGGAGAGTTATATTTTCTAATTTAAAATGGCATCTATTTTATGGGAGAATATATATAAAATATTAAAGTATATAAAATATCTCGTATCTGATTGGAAATTTCAAGAGTTTAATCAGAAGTAACTTATTATATGAATACAACAATGCAGCAAAATTTGCTTAATTTTTAGATTATAACTTTATATTTCTTAGTGACTTAGTCAATTAATTATAGTAGTCAAAAGAGTACCTACCATATCTTTGTTAAATATTTTTAACTTGCAATTCAATATGTTCAAAAGTGAACTTCGTTTTTTCGATTTTCGGCAACCCCGTTCGGTTTATGTGGGGACTACTGTTGGTACGCGTTTCTTCATGTCAGGCAGATAGATCGTCACAAAGAACCCGAGTGGTTACGCATCTGGGAGGCGGCTCGACCGCTGTACACATTAGTCATTACTATGTAAAATCACCACACTTCACACA